GCAAAGAATAGGGAGGGCGCGATCAGCAGGGGCGCCCCACCAGGGCCTGGTGGGGCCCTGTTAGAAAAAGCATAGAACCTGAATGTGATTTATTTCCACCAGGAGGTTTAGACGTTGTAACAGTAACGTATTAACAAAGGGCCACGTGGTGGAAAAGATGCCAGGAAGCTGCTCAGGCTGAGAGTTGGGGTGGGGGGAATTGGTAAGGGCCTGGCTATACCTGTTCGAGTTTTTTAAACCTACCAATGAAATTAAGACAAATGTAAGACAGGGTCCACAGTGGATACAACTGGCTTAGGCGACGTCCGGGAAAGAATGTGGACCCTGCAGGACTCAGCCAATGAGGAGCCAGGGGAGGGACTCGCGTGCTAGGAAATAAATTACTTGGCGCCAACAGCCCCAGGTGTGCCTGCCCACCAGACACCCGATCCTGCAAGGCCATCATTAAAGCCTCGCTCCGCTGTCCTCTCTGTCTCTGTGTCCACTTACTGAGTTTGGACCAGTGAGTGTGTGTCTCACAACCCCGAGCCTGTGGCCAGGGTTCACAGGCTCTGCCCTCGCTGGGGGACAGATGCCCGGGGTACAGGGGCTCCCCAGCAGTTGTAGACCCGTCCTGCACTGCTGCTGTCTCCCTGGGTTGATTCCAGTTAAGCATGATTTTCTTGTGGCTAAAATAATGCTTGCAGGCAACCCCTGCAGAGCGCTGTGGCATTGCCATGGTGACCATGGTGCTGGGGGCACTCAGGCTCACTTTGGGCTTTAAATATAATCCCAGGCAGCAAGCAGATGGGCCAGAAGGACAGAATCCATGCTCAGCAGCCGTCACCTGCAGCATGTGACCAGAAGCATACGCCCTCTGGTGCTCGCTGGCTCGTCTCAGTCCCCGAGGAGGGGTTCCACTCCATCTACATGTCTACCTGGGACAAGTGTGCAGCATATGCCGGCTGGCCTGGGCAGGGCTCTCCATGATATGTGCCAGCCCTGCGCAAGCACCGGGCCACCCTGATCCCCAGTGTCCTCATTCAGGGAATGGGGCTGATACCACGCAGACATGAGCCTGTGCATGCCGACCACATCTGTGGGGGTCGTCGGTGGACAGGAGCTTCACGGTGGTCCTAAGCTGGGGGAACTGGCTGTAAGTGGTGTTGCTGAGCAGAGGATGGTGTGGCCCTGAGGGAAGGCATCCATAGAGAGGTGGGCTTGGAAGGGGTCCCGGGGTTCGGGCAGAGCCCCCAGATGCCCTCAGCCTGCACCCCAGAACCCTGGTCCCACCACCAGTGAGTGCAGCTCCCCCGCCGCCCGCTGCGTCCCTCCCGCGCCCTCTACTGGCAAAACACAGCGCCTCGATGACTGGAAGGAGGGATGGGGCTGCCAGTGGTGAGGGGAGGAGGACAGGGCTGCGCTCACCCTGCAGAGCCAGGCACCCCCAAGACGAATGATCTGGCCCAGGCATCGGTGGTGCTCAGCCTGAGAACCCTGGACCCCTCTGGAAGGAACTCTATCTATGGTCCCAGGTAGTAAGTGCTGGATTTGGAGCCACGGGGGCAATAAATGGTTCCTGGCACGTGGATGCACAGACACAGTCACACCTGCAGACACGCACCGCGCACAGACACAGCACACAGGCTGTAAGTCCGGGGAGAGGAAATTCTGGGGCAAAATACCTCTAAAAACCGAAATCAGTCAAAGGCAGAAACAAAGTTTAAAATTCGTTTACTGCTTACAAACTGCAGTCCCAGACCTTCTCTCTTTCCTGCTCCAGAAGCAAAACCGGCCCTCCCCCTCACCTCTCAGGTCCAGATAAGCCCTCCATTGCCCAGGTAATTACCCACTGATAAGGAGAACATCTCTCCACCCCTTGAGGAATGATGCAAATGCACTAAAGCCACACCTCTGTCCTCCTCTGAATGCCTGTTGATATGCAGATGTACTAAAGCCAGGAGAGATATTCTGGAAATATTACGATTTTACCCACACAGGCTCAGACCCAGATACCCGCAGAGACTCAGATGTCCCTCTCCCACTCCTGGGCAGGACCTTGCACAACGGGATGCTGCAGCCTTTTCCGGCCCCCTCCTGAGCGTAGCCCACGAGGCCCCTGTGGGTCTGCTCCGCAGTTCCATAGCCTTGCCTTTCTGCACTCCAGACCACCCTGCTCTCCGGAAGTGGGCCTTTGCACAGGCAGCCCACCTGCCTGCCCTGCTCTCCTACGTCCCCCCCCACATCCTCCAGCCCAGAGCCAGCCTGTCTTCCAGGGACCTGTCAGACCTGCTCTGTGCGGCCCACTAACAGTGGCCTGTCATCCCATCGGCATGCAGTTTTCATGAGGGAGCAGCCACATCTGGCCGACTCACCGCCATATCCTAGCACTGCTCCTGGTCCATGGAATGAATGAATGAACAGAGCAGTGAATGTCCTCATGTGAACCAGTTTCTCTTAAGTCCTGTGACCTATGACACAGACAGGAAACGTCTGTTGCCACCCCCGCACAGCCACAAGCTTCCTGGGCTCTTCCTGCCACCCCATGGGGTCAGTCTCACACCTGGTCCATGACCCAACCCACGGACGGAGATGTCACCTCCTGGCAGTTATCTTTCTGGACTGTCCCAAGCACTGAGCAGGCACAAATGCAGCCCATGAGATTTGCTGAGGAAGGGTTCCCTCTGGACGGGGTTCTGGGGACGGACCCCACAGGGAGGAGTAATGGCCAACACCCCTTGGAAGGTCTGTGGTTTCATTTGCTGAGCCCCCTGAGCACGAACGCTGCCTGGCTTTCACCGTTCACCTGAAGCACCTCAGAGTCATCATGGAGAATCGTCAGAAGGAGCGTCTCTCAAAAGGAAATCAGGTGAGCCAGGCATGGTCTTGGGGGGACCCAGGCTGGGGCCATGCAGCCCCCCTCTAGCGGTCCAGCCACCTCCTCCCCCCACCAACCCCACACCCGGTGGGAAGTAGCCAGGTGGCCTCCTGCACCTCCATCCTGGGGCCCCCGGGGACCAGAGAGGGACAGAAGGCCGGTGGCTTCCCCTGGTGTCCCACCAGGCCAGCTGGGCTGCCAGGAGGGCAGGGAGGCAGGTCCCCAGGGCTCTCTCCAGACACCTTTCTGTGTGGCTGACGTTTCACAATAAGCCTCTGGCGCTTTTATAATCAGTTAAAATACACAAACATCTTTGTACTTCTTCATTTGCAAACAATAGATGTAATTATGGAAGCACGGGAGGGGGCGGGGAGGGGGGGGACGCTGAGAGAAAAGGGCCCGCCCCGAGATGTGGCTCCGGTCACCTCTTGTTCCTCCCGCCCTACCTGGTTCTCTATGCGGACTGCAGGGGGAAAGGCGGGGTCCCTACTCGGCCAGCTCCGTACACGGCCCAAGTCCTGGGGGGGCGACTTCCAGGCACTTCCGAGGGGTCCTCACCCACTCATTCCTCCATTTCCTGGTGTGCGGATGCCTGGACACGCCCTGGGGATACAGCGGGGCCCGTGGGACCGCGTCCCGATCCCCGCCCCGCCCGGAAGGGGAAGTGGCCGGAAATTTGGGAGCAAATGGTCACCAGGCATGCAGCTGGACCGAGCCCTCTGCCCTCAAGGCCCCAAAGGGGTGGCCAGAAAACCACCCAGTGATTCTCACCCCCTCCAGAGGGGGCTCCGTGGGACTGGGCGGGCCATTGCTTAGGAGAGCTTGCTGGCGGGGAGAATGCCAGGGTGCCCATTCGGTGCCCAGGTGAGGTCCTGCAAACGGCGGACTTGGGCTCCGTGGATGCCACTGTGGGTAAAATTGTAGTATTTCCAGAATATCTCACCTGGCTTTAGTACATCTGCGTATCAACGGGCGCTAAGGGTGGAGAGAAGTATGGCTTTAGGACATTTGCACCATTGTGGAGTTCATCTCCATATCAACGGGTAATTACCTGGGCACCGAGGGCTTATCAGCACCTGAGAGCGGTGGGGGAGGGCCAGTTTTGCTTCTGGAGCTGGAAAGAGGGGAGGCCCGGGACTGCAGTTTGTAAGCAATAAACGGGTTTTAAACTTTTATTTCTCCCTTTGACTGATTTCAGTTTTTAGAAGTATTTTGTCCCGGGATTTCCTTTCCGCGGATTTACAGCCACCAGGCGGAGGTGCGGGGAGGAGAGGGGGGGTGTCCGGGATGCAGGCCCCCGAGGGGGGCGTGGTGTTCGGAGGCAACTGTCCAGACAAAGGCCGCGGAGGGGGCAAGACCCAGAGGTCGTGGATTCGGAAATGAAGATGAGGGGTGAGCTGGGCAAATGCGGCGAGTGGGCCAGAGGGTGCCGGCTCGTGAGTGCGGACAAGCCTCCCCGGCTGTGGGCCCTTTCCGCACGGCGAGGGCGGCTGGGCGGGGGAACCGGCTGAGCCCCGACGGTCGGCCGTGACCTTGGCCGGGTTCTCCGCTCCTCGCAGCCTGGCGTCCGCAGGTGTGAGGTGGCCGCGCGCGGGGCTCGCGCTGCTCTGGATGGAGGCGTCCCCCCAGGAGGCAGGGCTCCTCTGGCCGCGGCCCCCGCCCCTCGTGTCACCGGTGACCCCTCCGCGCTATCCGCTAGACGGGCGGCTTTGGGGCTCGCGCGCGCCCCCGAATTACCCGGCTTTCGGGACAGATTGCTGGAGTCAGTGCGGCTGCACGGGGCAGCCGAGGGCGGGCATTTCCGACAGGGGTCGGGGCGCTGCAGAGCAGAGGTCGCTCCCGTGGCCGTGATGGGAGCCCACCTCTCCGACGGGACGCGCGCGGGCGGGCGGAGGGCGCCGCTCTGGGTTGCCGGGCAGAGCCGGGCCGCGGCCGCGGCGTTCCCCGGGGATTGGCCCAGGTGCCGCCCCGCCTCGTCCTCATTGGCCGCAGGTGCCACCGCCCCCGCCCCGGGACCGCCCGCCCCGCCGATTGGGCCCCCGGAGCCTCGCGTCGGCCATGTTCGCACCCCGCCTCTTCGGCCCTGCGGAGCCTGACGCCGGGACTCAGTGCGCGCCCCGCCCCCCGCCCCTCCCAAGTTCGCGGAGTTGGCGGAGCTGTGCTCCTCGGTTCCCGAGCCGCGCTCTCCCTTCGCGTCCCGCCGCCGCCGCACCTGGGGCCCCTGGGGCCCGCGCCATGGCCCGAGCGCCCGGGGCGTGGAGCTGACCGAGGCCGGCGGAGCGCCATGCCCAGCAGGACGGGTCTCAAGATGTACGGAAGCCCCGTCCGCCACAGCGGCCGCGTCCGCCTGAAGGCGCACTACAGCGGGTGAGGGCCGCGCCCGACGGCGGGGGGCGCGCTGGGGCCCGGGCGGCGGAGGCCCGGGGCTCCCGGCAGCGGCGCGGGAGGGAGGAGACAGCGAGGCCACGCCGGGCCCCGGGGCGTCCCGGGAGGTGTCGACGCGCTGGCGCCTAGAGGCGCCCCGGGCGAGGCAGCGCTCCGAGCGCCCTTGAACGTCACCCGCGGAAATCCTCGTGGGCAGGGCGGCGCCGAGGGCGCGGGCGTCCGCGCGGGTCTCCCCATCCGGGGAAGGTGTTCCTGGGACCCGACTTGTCTGGCGAACCCCCCAGCGCGGGGGTCGGGCTTCTCCGCGCGGTCCCGGACCCAGTGTTGATGTTTTCCGTGGAAAAGGGCGAGACATGAAGGCCGAAAGCCTGTAAGGACTAAAGTTTTTGTTAAATTGTGAAAACCGCTGGCAGACTTTCAAAAATCAGGATTTCTTAAACTTTTTCCGAATTTCCTGGCCAGAGGTCTCAGTTTAAGACAAGTTTAGCGACGCAGGTGAAGGCGAGGCCTGGCGAACCATCTGTGGTTGTGCAATTGGAGGGTCCCCGGGAGGCTCCCGGCCGCCTGCGTGCGTTGGGGGCCCGACCTTCCTGACGCTGAGCCCCGCGCTTTCTCCGCACCCCGGACCCGACTTCTCGTGTGAAATGGGACGAGCAGGCACCTCACAGGGGTCAGTGGCTGGAGCACCTGGCTGGGCGGGGCAGTGCCGGGCACTTGGCCCTGGTGGGTGAAGGGGCTGCTCCGAGGCCAGCATATGCCCCGTCTCTTAGGCAGAGTAGAAGCGCTGCAGGCAGACCGCTGCAGACCACCGGTGTTGGTCTCCAGGAGCCCCCAAACCCCACCTGGCTGCCCCAAGGGTTGCCACTCCTGTTGGGAGGCGGTGGGAGTAAAAGCCATCCCTGCGGTGACCTTGGCCGTGTCAGCTATAGGGGCATTCCTCGGGGGTCCCCGCAGAGGTCCACTTGCCCGGTGTCCTCCCACCCGAGAAGGGCTTGGAGTTCTTGACCTCCTGAGGTGCCCTACGGAGTGTCTGGCCAGGCCTCTTTTGCCCTCTTTGCCATCCCCAGCGGGTCACCTGCGTGGGGGAGTTGGTGGCAGAACCGGAGGGAAGGGTTTCTCGGCGTTGGTCGGCCGGCCTGCCTGAAGAGGCCAGGGAGCCCCGTCTTCTGGCCTGGAAGGTGGGCTGCGGACAGAAGCCGGCCTCAGACTGGTCCCGGGGCCAGCGCATCTTGGCGTGCCCGTTGGTATACTGTGGAGGGCCCGTCAACACGGCCAGCCAGGAGCCAGGAGCCAGGAACTGAGCAGCTGGCAACTTTGTGCAAAATCAGAGTTAGCCCTTAACCAGAGGGAGTCCTCGCGCTGCGGAGCGGTGGGTGGGGCGGGTGGGGGCGGGACCCCCAGGCCGGGCCTGGCTCCTCCTGCCCCGAGCCCTCCTGGGGGAGGCGGAGCCCCGGGGAGTCCCAGGTGGAGCAGCCCCGCCCCCGGCCCCGCCCCCGGCGGGAGCTTCGGTTACCCAGTAATGTGACCCGTGGAGTCCGGTTCCTGGGCGGAGGAGGCCGCACGCTCCCCTCTCCTCCGTTGGCCGCCTGTGCGCCCCCGGCCCTGCCCTCCCCCCTGCATCTCCCACCTTCCCCCCACCCCCTCTCTCCCCTCCCTGCCCGTCTTTCTCTCCCACCCCGTATCTTTTCTGCCCCAGGCTGCCGGTACTGAGGGGCTTGGCTGCTGCCCCCTCCTCACTCCCTCCTGGGCCTGCTCCTCCCAAGGTTCCCTGCGTCGGAGGCACTCCCAAGGGGCTGGACTGCTGTGAATCCGGGGAGAGGAAATCCCAGGGCAAAATACCGCCAAAAACCGAAATCAGTCAAAGGGAGAAATAAAGTTTAAGACCTGTCTATTGCTTACAAACTCCAGTCCGGGGTCTTCCCTCTTTCCTGCTCCTGCAGAAGCAAAACCGTCCCCCCCCTCGCCTCTCAGTACAGGTACAGATAAGCCCCCCTGTGCCCAGGTAATTACCCACTGATATGGAGATGAACTTCTCTCCACCCCTGAGGAATGTTGCAAACGCACTAAAGCTATATTTCTTAACACCTCTGAACGCCTATCGATATGCAGACACACTAAAGCCAGGCGAGATATTCTGGAAAATGTTCAAATTTTACCCACAACTGCTGGAGTCAAAGCAGGAAGCTTTGAACCCAGAGCGCCGTAGCGAAGATGGCTGCAGGGGGCGTCCGCCACGATCCTTACTCGCTCACACAAGCCCCTGGCTCCAAGTGAAATTCTCCCTCCTGCCCCCTGCCCGGAGGGAGGTTGTTTAGGGCAGTAGGGGGTGAGGTGCGGGTCAGACACGCCCAAGGTGCTGTTCTTAAAAAGTGCAGGGCCTTCAGCTGCCCCCACAAGGCGCGACTTCTCCTGGCTACCCTTGCCTGCCTTTGGCAGCCCTCCAAAGGCTTGCTAGCCGGCACTGGGGGGTGGGGCACCTGTCTGGGGGATGGCAGCCCCTGGGGTTCCAGCTGAGTCCGGGTGGGGGCCGGGTTTGGGGACCCTGCTCTGCCAGGTGAGTTGTGGACGCTGCTCTTTTAAGGTCACAGAAGCAGCTGTGCTGGGCCCTCCCACCGCTCCCAGAGGAGCACCAGCTTCTGCTTGGGGGCAGAACTCCAGGGGGAGGACGTGGGCAGGGAAGGTCAAAGGTGAATGAATGGGTGTCAGACCCCGACTTCTATAGTTTGTGGCAGCAGGACTGGCGAACACTGGGTCAGGTGACGAGTGTTTCTGGCAGTGTGGGTAGCAGGTCCGGGAGACCATAGGCTGACGGGGTAGGTGGGGTGGGGGCTTGGTGTCTGGGGCCTACACTAGTGGGGCACGTGACCCCTCTGTGCCTCAGCGGCCTATCTGTGCAGACACTGCAGGCTGCAGTGAAGATGAGCTCCATTACTGTCCTGCAGAGTGTGGGGGCACTGGGGGTGCCCAGGGTCTTAAGAGCAGATGTTCAGTTACAGCAGGAGGGTCTGCAGCTGGGGGCCATCTTGCCCTAGGTGAGGGAGACCCTTGGGCAGGTGCCCAGCAAAGAGACACAGGGTCCTGGGGGCCCAGGGCGCCCAGGACTTACTGCCTCTGGGGCAGACTTCCTTTGCCAGTGCGTGTTTGGTGAAGCTTGGAAGGCAGTGGCGTGGACACCGCACCAACCCTCTGCACAACACCCCGAACGACGGCAGCAGAGGGTCGGTGCGGTGTCCACGCCACTGCCGTTCGGGGTGTTGTGCCCCCTCGGACCTCTCCAGGCTCTGCCCTCTGGTTATGTCAGATGCGGACGCCTCAGGATCTTCCGAGAGGGTGTGGCTCCTGCTCGGTTTCAGTGGGAGCGCCACCTGGGTCAGCGCCAGCCTTTGCTCAGTGGGCTGCTTCTGGGCCCCTCCCTGCCTTGATTCCCGGGCTGGCAGCCTCCCAGTGAAGAGCCCGTCCTCAGAGGGTGACCCTCACCCCTGAGCTGTCTCCCGCCATCCAGGCGCACCCCATTTTTGGATGAAGAGATAAGAGGCCTCCGTGTGACTTGCTTTTCAAAAACTCATGTCTGGAATGATGTTACAGCCCCACCAAAGGGTTTAAAAGAGCTGCCTCCCATGTTAGGTTACCTGTGCTGGGGGAAGGATTAATGAGGCCAAGGGTGCCCACCCCACCCAAACCCTGAGCCTGGTGCCTGGCGTGTGCTTCCTGCCCCTGCCCCCTCGCTTCTCCGCATCCAGGTACCAGGACAGCGCTTTCCTTTCCTCAAAAGGGCACTGGTGCTTTTAAAAAACCATGGCTGGTTATTCTACTCCATGATCTGTACTATTTTCTTTGAGGAAAGTTTCAGTGATTTAATCAGTATCTCAGCTAATCAGCAGCGTTTAGTGTGTGTTGACTGTGCTTCTGATGAACCATGTCTGCGTCCTCTCTGCCCCAGGGACATGCTGATCACCAGCTTGGACCCCGCGACGACCTTCGCCGAGCTCTGTGAAGAAGTGAGAGCGATGTGCAGGCTGCCCCAGGGGGACCCCTTCACCCTCAAGTGGGTGGACAGTGAAGGTAGCTGTGGCCACATCCCCCTGACCAAAACCTCCAGATCTTCTTTGAACTAAGTGGTGCGGCCCCTTCACAGGGAGACACCACTGTGGGATTAACTGGTTAGCAGCCAGCTTCCTGGAGGGGGGGTGCCGGAAACCGTTCTGGAGGAGGCTGGCTGCAGTACAGAGAGGGAGCGCTCTGGGGGGAAGGGAGGTGCCTCTGGGCAGGGGGCCCTCGGGTCCTCCCCCTCCTCACTTGGCCTTCCTTTCTCCCATTTCGGGCTTTTCTGGTGGGTGATGTGAAGGGTGACCCCCCGTTTTCTCAGGGAAGCGGGTGGGTGAGCTTGGGCTTGTCCTGGCTGGGAGGCAGTGTGGGACCCCTTCTGCATGGCTGGCTGGCAGCTGTCGGTTGGAGTTGGGCCTCGAGGGGTGTTGGTTCCATGGTTCCTGCGCCCTGTCTGGTGGCAGGAGTGGGCCCCTTTCCCTTCAGCGTGGGACTGGCCTTAGGGGAACGTGCCTCCCTCCACCGCAGCCGGCTTTGGCTCCCTGCGGACTCACTTCCCTTTGGGAGAGGCTTGGTTCTGAGAAGGGGTCTGGGCTGTGGGCTCGCTGGTCCTGCTGCCGGTCTCCGCCCTCCAGCTGTTGGCCGGCCAGTCCGAGCAGGGCGCTCTGCCCTCCTGACGTGGAGTAGGACCCCTTTGCTGTAGGTCTGCCATGGTCTCAGCGATGTTTCGCACCCCCCCACCAGGTGACCCCTGCACGGTGTCCTCCCAGATGGAGCTGGTGGAGGCCTTCCGCCTGGCCTGTCAGCGCAAAGATGAAGGGCTCATCTTTCATGGTCAGTGGTGGCCGGGGCAGTGGGGCGGTCCCACTGTGGCCTGGGTGGGTGGAGCCCAGGTCCTTGCTGACCACGGGGGCCGGAGGATCTGGCTGAAACCTTCAGATGCCAGAGTGTCCAGATGTGGGGCATAGGGCCTTTGGGGCTTGATGGTCTCTGGCATCTTGCCCACCCAAAGGAAAATCGCTGTTGCTGGAGCTCAGTAAGCCGTCTTCTCGCTGGACACAGACGCCTGGTTCTTGTTTGTCCCAGTCGCCCTCGATTCTGGGGCTGCCATCACTGGGTGCCGCAGGGCCCAGGGCAGTGGGCAGAGCGGGTAGCCAGGTTGGGGTCTTCAGCCTGTGCTCCCCTGCACTGCCAGGGTCCGGTGGAGTGTCTGTGGGCCTGAGAGAGCAGTTCCGGTGTCTGCGGCAGCCAGCTGGGACTCCTGGCTAGGCATGCAGGCGTGGGCAGCAAGTCCAGGGCTGGGCCGGAGTGGCGAGCCTCCCGCCACTCTCTGTCTGATCGCTGCCCCTCCAGCACTGGGCTGGCAGTGGGTCAAATGCCCGATTTTTGTAGCTCATCATATAAACGTGGCTTAAAGCTCAGACCTGACGTAGTCTGCTCTGTTATGGCGATGAGCACGTGCGTGTTGCCTCTCCATGTTGACAGCTGTGACATTGCTTCAAAATTCACTTGGTTTTCTAGGAAGGTTGTTCCAGGTACATTTTAAGCGTCTGTTATAATAATTTACTGCGGAAACCCACGGTCAATTTTTTTTTTAATTTTAGTATCATTAATATAAAATCACATGGGCAACCTTGTGGTTACTAGACTCCCCCCATCACCAAGTCCCCCCCACATACCCCGTTACAGTCACTGTCCATCAGCGTAGTAAGACGCTATAGAGTCACTGCTTGTCTTCTCTGTGTTGAACTGCCTTCCCCGTGGCCCCCCACCCCCTACATTATGTGTGCGAATCGTAATGCCCCTTAATCCCCTTCTCCCTCCCTCCCCACCCGTCCTCCCCAGTCCCTTCTCCTTTGGTAACTGTGTGTCCATTCTTGGGTTCTGTGAGTCTGCTGCTGTTTTGTTCCTTCAGTTTTTGCACGAGTTAAATCACCTGGCACCCGTCCCTCCCCGCCCGGCCCACCTCACCGAGCATAACACCCCCCAGCCCAGGGTCTATTTTAGAATATTTAATTTTGAACTCTATCTTGAATATGAATAAATGGAATGTAATGCACTTTCAAGTGTCTGTTTTCAAAGTAAGTGCAGGTCTTTCCTGTTTCCGCATTTATTACTACAAAACAGAAGTTCCGGCTCAGATGGGCCCATTAGCCAGAGCGCCCTGTTTTTTCCCCTGAAATTTTCACTGCACGTTGAAGCCTTCCTTATGAGGGAATTTAGCGTCCGTAGGTGCACTTGAGTGTCCAGGCTGTCGCCTTAGCGAGCATCTCCTTTGAGTAGGTGTTCTGTGGCAACGTGGGCCTCGCCTCAGATTCCGTGTGGTCAGCAGGCCCTGAGCAGGGCCGTGAGGCCGCCGTGGGCGGCTGCTTGCCGCGGGCACTGACTCCTGTCTCTCTTCCAGTTTTCCCCAGCGCCCCCGAGCAGCCGGGCATGCCTTGTCCTGGAGAGGACGGTGAGTACAGCCCTCCACTTTGACTCCCACTCCTTTGCCCCTTACAGGCGGGAAGGTGGCTCGTGCTTCGTGGGGCCCACGGCTCATGTGAAGTGTCTGAAGGCAGAGGGGGCAGCTGGCCAGGCCCGTGCGGGTCGCCCCTGGGCGTGTCCTTCACCAGGGGGTGTGCGCCGGCTCTCAGACGCTGCCATCAGAGGCTTGGCTGTCAGTGCCCGAGGGAGGGCCCAGGCCGAGACGGCGGGTCGCTGCTCCGCATGGAGGCCCGCCTGCAGCTCCGCCCAGCCTGGGCCTCGGCCCTCTCCCCAGTCCGTACTGGTCCCCAGGGGTGAGGTGGGGGTCTGCACCTGGGTCTGCTGGTAGGAAATGGAGCCCAGAATGAGTGGGTCCAGTAGGGAGCCTCTGACCTCACCCTGGGGGCCACTGGACCTCAGGCAGGCTGGAGCAGTTTGCTGCCCACCTGTCCTTCATGGCAGAGTGCCCACACGGTGGGGCATGGAGAAATTGCCCACCAGCCAGCGGACCCTCCTGGCCTGGTGCCGCACCATCTCTGGGAATGGGGAGCGCTGGACAGAGGGGGCTGCTAGTGTGGCTCAGGGGACTCAGCCCCTTCCTGCAGGGGACCTCAGGTCAGCGCTGGGTCAGGCTCCCGGCCTGGGCGCTGCCACTGGGAGCTGGTGGTGCCCCGTGTGGGGTGGGAGCAGATACGGGCAGAGGCCGTGCTGAGCTCTTGCCTGTGGGGCCTGTACAGGTGTCAAGTGGGTAGTTGGTGTGAGTCTGAGTTTAGGGGAGAAGTCAGTGAAGAGAGATTTGGGGTTCCTCAGGATGGAGAAGGTTGTCAGAACAAGAGAGAGAGGCTCGTGGTCGGGGCCTGACCCTGGGGTCTACTGAAGAACAGGGGCCCAAAGGGGCCCAAAGCAGGTGGGTGCAGGGGTTGATATGAGGGGCAGTTTCGGGGAGCGTGGGAGAGTCTGAGGTGGCTTGGGGGGCACATTCCTTCACTTGGCCCTGGTTTTCTCTGTGTGCATGGCACTGGGCGCCTCCCTCACTGGCTGGACAGGGTGATGGCACGAGCCCTGGTGTGTCCAGCTGGGAGGCAGGTGACAGGTGAGATACGTAAGTAAGTACATGGTGTCAGCTGGTGCTGAATAGTGCCCGTTGGCAGCGGCAGGTGGGGGCGCAGCTTGAGGGTGAAGCTGCACCAGAGGCCATGTGGGAAAGAACCCGGCGACCCAGCTCGGGTGGTGGAGATGGCCAGGCCCCCCCGGGAAAGCAGATGCACGTTTAGTTGTGCTGCTCGCAGCCAAGATGGCCTGTAGGAGCCCCGGGCAGGTGGGGCAGCCTGTCGGTGGTCCGCAGGCACATGGGCTTCAGAGTCCTGGTCCCCACCCATGACCCTCCCTCTGGGGCACCAACGTTCTGTGGAAAGGGGTGTGCACCCTGAAAAAGCAGTGTCACACTTCTCACAGTTCACATGTTGTTTTTGAGATGTAAAAAAATAAGGTCAGCACTATACAAGAAAGGTGAGGGTAGCCCTCTGCTCTCCAAAGGGTCGTGCAGCCGGCTCTGTTTGCCGCCTGGATGGCTTTGGCCAGGTGTCAGCTTCCTTGTCCCCAGGGAGGCCCCCGCAGTCCTCATCGGGTCTCAGCCCTGTCCCGGCCCCTGCAGTGCTGGCCGGTCTTGGGCCCTTTCTGTCCACAGCCCCAGCACCGTCCTTGCACCCCTGCCATGGGTGCTGACCAGGTGCATGTTCACGCCCAGTCTCAGGTGTGGTGACTGGCATTGGCTCAGCCTGTGCCGTGCTGGAGTCAGGGGTGTGGGGGCCATGGGTGCCTGGGGGCTTGGCATCTCTGCTGCAGGTAGCAGGGAGTGGCACGCGGGCAGTGGCTGTGTCACCCGGGGGGGAATGTGGAGAATGTGGCAGGCTTCACACAAAGACGTCTCAGGCACAAAAACACATCCTTGAGATGCTTACCAGGCCGATCCTGGGGCTTTGGGGCCACTCAGCTTTGTGGCAGAACATTCCATCCTCTTGGGGCAGTGCGCATGGTGGGGAGCGGGCTTCCTGCTCACGGTGCTGTTGCTGGGGCAGTGTCCTGGCCGGGTGGCCCTGAGCGAGGACCGCCCTCACCTTGAGGGCCCAGAGTGTGGACAGAACACCTTCTGGGGCCTGACCTCCATGTTCTCTCTGGCGTTTCAGTCTTTGGGCTTGGTTTTAGCAGCTGGGATGCCCGGTGGCCACCGTGGACTAAGTGTCCTGCTCGCCGCTATCCAGCCAGGCAGCACCACCCGCATGGGGGGAGCAGGCCTCGTGTGTGGGATGCTGTTGTGCGGAGAGCAGAGTCGGGACCACGGGGGGCACTGGAAGGACTGATGATGGACAAGCGGATGGCAGCACCTGGGCACTGGCAGCCTGAAGGGCCACGTGGCACCAGTCGAGCCTGTGGTCACTTGCAGTGAGATACCTTCCAGCACATTCTGTCTGGGTTGTCAGTCTGAATTTAGTTGGTTGCATGGTATTTTTTTAATTGTGTAAAGTACACACAACAAAGCACACAGCATGTTTTAATCACTTTAATTTTGTAGCATTTGGGGTGTCACACTGTGCCCGCCTCTGTCTACCTCCAAAACATGCTCGAAAAGAGAACCCCTCCCTGTCGCTGTTGCTCTGCACTCCAGCGCTGTCATTTTCCAGGATGGGTTGGGCTATTCTGGGTCCCTTGACAGGATTTTTAAGCTGGACTTTTCTGTTTCTACAAAACACGTCGCTAGGGTTCAGTCGGGCTCACACTGACTCTGCAGATTGGTCTGGGTAGTGTTGACAGCTCAGCAATATGAGGCCTTCCAGTCTGTAGACGGGGCTGTCTTCCCACTTCTCTCTGTCGACTTTCACTTCTTCCTGTGCTTCTTGTGTTTTTTGTTTTCAGTGTACAAATCTTTGACCTCCTCGTTAGACTTGCGCTCAAGTGTTGGGTCCTCGATGCCGCTGTGCAGAGCTGTCGCCTTCATTTCCTTCTTGGGCTGCCACGGCTGGTATGCAGAAAAGCAGCGCACCTTCGTGTCCTGCTGTTGTGCTGAATTCCCTTATTCGTTCTAACGACATTTTTATCATGTCAGGTTTTTCTGTATCATCTGTGAACAGAGGTAATTTTACTTATTCCTTTGCAATTTATATACTTTTCTTCCTTTCTCTTGCCTGATTGCCCTGGCTAGGCTTCCACTACCGTGCCGCGTAGAAGTCTTATTCCTGCTCTTAGAGGAAGAGCTTCCAGTTTTTCACCACTGAGTTTGATGTTTGCTGTGGGTTTTCATACACGGCTTTTATTATGTCAGGTATTTCTTCCTCCTGTGGTACAAGACCGTGTGTGGTCTTTGTCCCCAGCTTCTGGCACAGAGCTCCTAAGTCCTTTGGGGTTTTCCTGCAGGACAAGAGTGTCTTTTTATCATTCATTAGGAGTCCCATTTGAGCACTTCTGGTTTTTTGCTAAAAAGACGCCTGAGGTGGGGCTGGTCACTATGAAGAGCAAGTGATGAGAGGGGTTGGACTTCCTGTCCCCCCTGACCTCTGGGAGGAGAGGGGGGCTGGCTGGAGGTTGAATCAGTCCTAATAGCCAGTGATTCAATCAACCATCCTATATAATGAAGCCTCCCTGAAAAACCAAAAGGACAGGGTTGAGAGGGCTTCTGGGATCGTGACTATGTGAGGTGCAGGGAGAGCGGCATGCCCAGAGGGCACAGAAGCCCCCAGAGGGCATGGAAGCCCCCGTACCTTTCCCTAAGCCTCTCTTCCGTCTGGCTGTTCCAGGGTTAATCTACTCAGTAAAATGTTTCTCTGAGTTCTGTGAGCCACTCTAGCAAATTAATCAAACCCAGGGAGGGAGTCTAATATAACCTCCATCTGCAGCCAGTTGGCGGAAGCAGAGGTGACATCTGGGACTGGCATCTGCCGGGGGGCAGGAGGATAGTCTCATAGGGTGGAGCTCTTCACCTGTGGGGCATGGTGCTGTCTCCAGGGAGATAGTTACTTGCTTGGGAGTGTGAGGAAAAGACACACATGGTGCCACTGCCCTGGTTTGCTGAGTGTTTTTAACTTGAAAGCATTTTCAGCTTGGTCAGTCCCTGTCGCCGCAGCTGGAAGCATCTTGTGGTCTCCTTGTCCTGTGAATGCGCGTGTCACGTCCACAGGCAGCTCGTTTGTTGAGCCATCCTTGCTTTCCGCTTTCCAGGGCAGATCCCACTTGGTCCTTGTGTGTGATCCTTCCAACATGCTGCTGAATTTGGTTCGTTAGCATTTGCTTCAGGATTTTGGTGTCAGTGTTCATAAGGGATGTTGGGCAGTAGTTTTCTTGGTGCCTTTGTCTGGTTTTGGTGTCAGGGTGATGCTGGCCTCCGGGAACAAGCTGGGAGATACCCTCCAGTTTTTTGGGAAGATTGGAGGAGGACTGGTGTTAGTTCTTCAAGTGTTTGGTAGATTCACGAGCGATGCTGTCAGGCCCAGGACTTTCCTTGTTGGGAGATTTTGAGGCACTGATCCCGTCTCCTTTCCGGGACCAGCTCTATTCAGATTTTCTGTTTCCTCATGATTCAGTCTTGGCAGACTTTGTGCTTCTAGAATGTGTCCATTTTAGGCAGGTTATCCTGTTTGTGGGTGTACAGACTGTTCATAGCACACACCGACAGTCCTTTTCTTATTCCTGTAGGGTCAGTAGTAATAGCCCCACTCTGATTTCTGATTTTAGTAACTTGTGTCTTTCTTTTTTTCCTTAATCTGCACCTCGCTAAAACTTTGTCTATTTTGCTGATTTTTCCAAAGATTCAACTTCAGGTTTTATTGATTCTATTGCTTTTCAGTTCTCCGTTTTACCTCTGCTCTGCCTTTCATTATTTCCTTTCTTAGTTCCTTGAGTTGTAAAATTAGGTTGTTGACTTGAGGTCTCTGTCAGCATTTACAGCTGTAAACTAGCCACTTGGCACCACTCTGTTCATATGTTTCGATGTGTTGT